TGCTATCTGTGACCTCAGATGAATTACTTAACCTCTGTGGGCCTCAATTTCATCATTACAAAAACAGGCTGGGAATGTTGACATTTTAGGGTTGCTGTGAAGGACAAGTAGGTAAACCCTGGTAAAAGAAAATCTAGGACGGATCTCTGAGTTCAAGGCCAGCCTGGTCTACAGAGCTAGTTCCAGGACAGCCAGGCTACACAAAGAAATCTTGTCTCAAAAAACAAAAACAAAAAAAAAAGAAGACCTAGGTCTGTGACAGGTGGGAGGAACTGAACTCAGTATACGGCAGCTGACAGGATTCCTGTTCCCCAGGCTTGAACTGGTGGCTCCAACATCAACAACAGCAGTGGCTAGACTAAACATTCATTACCAAATCTGGGTGCCAACCAGAGGGCTGAGTCTGTTTTGAGGCCCTAGCAAATCCCTCTGCAGCTTTCTTCAGCCCTGAAACAGTATTTAAAGTACTGTTCCCTTGTAGCAAGAGCGGTCTTTCTCTGGCCTTTATTTGAAGTCAGCCTTTATAGCTCAATTGGCGAATTCAGTGATGTCCCAAAGGATTGTTTATACATTATACCAACAGGAAGATCTCTGAGTTCAAGGCCAGCTTGGTCTACAGAATAAGTTCCAGTACAGCCAGGGCTATAGGAGAAACCCTGTCTTGGAGGAAACAACAACAACAACAACAAAAAGAAAGAAAGAAAGAAAAGCTGTGGGATAGAGTTGGCTCAGCAGTGGTTAAGAGCACTTGTTGCTCTTGCAGAGGACCCAGATTTGATTCCCAGCACCCACATGGTGGCTCACAACCATATGTAACTCCAGTCTTAGGGGATCTAACCCCCTCTTCTAACCTCCTTGGGCACCAGGCATGCACTGGTGTATATACATACCTACAGGCAAAACATTCACACATATAATAAAAATAAATACCCTGGGCATCTGTAGTGGTGGTTGTGGTACTGGTTGCGGCAGTCACAGAGGTGGCTGGGTTGGTGGTGCACGCCTTTAATCCTGGGACTTGGGAAGCAGAGGCAGGTGGATCTCCGTAAGTTTGAGGCCAGCCTGGTCTACAGGGCAAGTTCCAGGACAGCCAAGGCTACACAGAGAAATCAGGGTTCGAAAACACACACACACACAAAACCAACTCTAAATCAAACAAACAAAACAAATACGCCCCCCCCCCCCAAAAAAGTCTAGGTGGTGGTAAACAACTGTAATTCTATTTATTTACTGTATGTTTGCATGTATGTGTGCACATGTGAAGGTCAGGGGAAAACTTATAGGAATCTTTTTTCTCTTTCTAACATGTTGGTGACAAGCCCATACCATTAAACCATCTCACCAGCCCCAGACGCTATCTTTTAAATGAAGGACCGAAAGATAACTTCTGTAAATTGGCTAGGGAAGGAGGTATATGGGGGTGGGAGTTAGAGACAGAAACTAACATCTTTTATGCCATATCCCACACCTGATTTGCCTCAAGTATCTGATACACACAATGCCATGATGACCTTGGGAGAAAGTAATATGCCCATTTTACAGACGAGGAAAGGAAAGGGGAGGAGAGGGGAAGGGAGGGGAGGGAAGGAAACCATCCAGGGGATTTTCCTCTGGGTGCTCAAATGGGCATAAACCTGAAGTTCCTTAACAAGTCTTCATGGCCCCCACCAATTTCCTTCTCAGCTCTCCCCTCCCATGACATCAGTCAACTGACTTGTCTTACCCTCAACACACCAGCTCAAACCTCTACTCTGTACATTGTTACTGCTACTACCTGACATGTTTTCTCCCAAAACACTGAATCACTATCTTATTATCACCTGAACCTCAGTTCAAAGGTCCTCTCCTCTGCAGTCACCCAAAGCGCCCAGAGTTGAAATTCTGACACACTCCCACCCCCAACTCTTTACTTCTCTATTCTATTTCCTCCTCAGTCTTCTTCACCTTATCTTTATTCTGTTTCTCCTCATAACAACCAATGCCTTTTGTTTGTTCTTGAGACAGGGTCTCTCTATTATATAGCTCTGGCACTCCTGGAATTCACTATGTAGACCCGGATGGCTCCAACTCCGAGATCAACTTCCCTCTGCCCCACCACAGACAGTGCTGGGGTTAAAGGCATTTCCCACCACGATTTAAATGCAGACATTCTGATGCATGAACTCATGCTATTTACTTTTCTGCTGTATTTCTTTCCTGTCTCTTCACCTGAAATGCTGCTGCTCATAGATCTGCCTTATCCCAGAGTGGCAATTACTGAACACAGTAAGGTAAATGCTCGTGTTAGCAGCAGGACTGACACCAACCTTTCTGTCACCTTCCTTCACGTTTGGTCCAGCTCAAGAAGGTGAAGAAATATTCAGGTTGAGAAAGATCTCCATGGGTACATTAGAATATAGTAAACATTCCTATGTTTAAACAGGAGCTGGAGACTAGCAAGATGACTCAGTGGTTAAGATCACTGGCTGCTCTTCCAGAGGACGTAGGTTTGACTTCCAGCACCCATATGGTGGCTCACAACCATCTCTAACTCCAGTTCCCAGGGATCTGATTCTCTCTTCTAGCTTCTGTGAACATTGCATACATGCACATGGTGCACATACATACAAGCAGGCAAAACACCCATATACGTAACACAAAATAAAACTTTAAACACACTGGGGGAAAAAAAACTGAGGTTTTCTTCTTACCAATTTTTCTACTAGCATGTGCTAGTATGGTGGCATGTGCCTGTATTCCAAGCACTCAGGAGAATTGAAAGTTCAAGGCCAGCACAAGGAACAGTCTCAAAAAAAACGAGACCAAAACAAGGTAGAGGAAAAGAAAAAGTGAGCGATGTTTATGAAGTAATGAGTGCATACTAGAGATTGACCAGATATAGCTACTAAGGTATTAACCATCACTTCTCAAATGCATGCAAGTACAAAAGAGATAAATAAAAGATGTTCTCAGAGTACAGAGTCATGAGGCATTACTTGAGACAGCCTCACTATTTGGATGCAGTGGTATATTGCAAAGGACATAATGCTACTCATTCACCTCAGCTGAATGAACATATAAAAGGACTTTGATTTTTAATCCTGACTCCAGCAGTCATCCAGGCTCTCAAGGTCGTAGATTCACCATGTAAAAGAGGCTGAACTACATCATTGTAAACACATTCTAATTCCCCATAATTAAGTGCTCGATAAACATTTAATGAAGACCATCCCCAACCAAAAGCCAAAGAACACAGAAAGTTACATTTACAAGGTCATGGGATCAGAAGAGGACATGAACTGTAACCCAGATTTCTTTCTACACCCTTCTAACACTCATACTTTCCAAATGTGACATTATGCCTTTCTTCCAAACTCAAAAGTCATTTATTCCATTAAATAATCTTTGCCTGACTCCACTTAATCAAAGGACAACAGGATCAGGACAAAACACCCCACACTATCTAAAGAATCAAATTAACTTCAGAGATAATCTAGCTGCAAATCCCCTGCCTTGGCCAAAACTCAAATGATTTGTTCAGATGAATGAAATGAAGAGTTTTATTTTACAGTTTGATTTTAAGCAATGGGATAAAAATAAAAACTTCAAATGATAATACTTCCTGAGAATACAACACATAACTTTTTAAAAATTAATTCTATGTTAAAAGTTGTGCCACTTGGTACAAAGCAGATTCACAAAAGTAATCACAGGTTACCAGAAAATGTCCTACAGGTATTTTATTGCTTTATTTGTATTGACAAAATACATACTTTACAGTAAAGTTAATATTATACCTTCCTAGGATTATCAAGTTAAGAGTGAAAAGCCACCTGCCACTCATGGTCAGCTTTCTAGATGTCTCACAACAGAGGAGTCAAGGTCAAACGGTTGAGGCTTCTCACCTTTCCACCTAGTATCTGAACAGCAACTAACTGTGAATTCGAAATACTTGACTTTGTACTCTGACAAAGACAAACGACCACACCCTGGTTCAGAGTTCCGTGACATTAGGCTGTCATGAACAAGGAGCACAGAGGGGGTGTGCAAAGTGACCCTGTGGAAGCCAGAACTTTCATCTACTTTTTTGCAGTTTTACCACCTATCAAGTTGGAAAAAAATCATCTGTCATCTAGTCGCCAGATGAATACATAAATCAAGTAATATTAGTCAACAGTCTTGACATCTGGTGCAAAGGTGAGAAACCACTGTTATCATGACTATTTACTATACTGGGGTCCAGAATACTGTACCCTTCTTACATCTATGACCCGGAGTGTTTTCAAAAAGTCGTATTGGGTACAGCTTCTGCAGAATCCAGGCCCGGCAACCACAGATACATACAGCTAGCAAGTCTCTGCTGATGATGGGAAGTGAGGGCCCCAAGCACCCGGTTTAGATGAACCCACAACCACCGCGCCCCTCAGTCACCTTGTCATCACCTTGAGGAACAGAAAACCACCCTAGGGCAGCGGGCAATTCGGCTCTCAGAAAATAAGGAGTGCCCCCACCCTTTATCAGGCTGCGGCTGCTTAGACTCCAGCTTCCCGCCGGGCGGGGACGGGGACTGGGAACTGACGGCGCCAGGGACGCCTTGACCTAGGACAACGCGGGAGCGGACAAGGGCGATCGGCCCGCAACCGGGTCAGGGACGCGAGAAGTCAGTCCCAGGCCGAGCCCGCCTCGCCTGGCCTCGCCTACCGCCGCAGGCAGAGCAGGAGGCTCCCCGCCCCCGTGAACCCACACCTCTGAGCTCGCTCACCTGCAGCCGGGTCACCAGCAGGCTGTAAGGCGCCATTTTGTGCACTGACAAAGATGAGGTCGCGTGAAAGTGACGTCCCACTCGGCGTATTTGAAGGGACTGGGAGGGGCGTGGCCTCCAGAGAGGCGCGTCCCGGTGACGGTCGGATCTTCGCCCCCCCCCCCGAGCCCGAGTCCAGACAGCGCAGTGGGCGGGACTTCCGTGACGGGAACCTGGCGTGAAAGGAGAGACTGCCAGCTTGGCTTTCGGAGCAGCCCGGTCATTTTTGCACTTGGCAATGGAAGCTCGAGGGGAGTCAGGAGTTCAAGGTCATCCTTCACGTCAAGCCCCAAACCCACATGCTTTGCGGAAGCATGCATGAGGTCCTACCCTCAACCCCGAGCACAGAACGTAACATATGCAGAAAAAAATTTGTTTGTTTGTTTGTTTTTCGAGACAGCCCTGGCTATCCTGGAACTCCCTCGGTAGGCTAGGCCGGCCTCGAACTCACAGAGATCCGCCTGCCTGTGGCTCCCGGGTGCTGGGATGAAAGGCGTGAGCCACCAACACCTGGCCAAAGGTAGAAATTCTATCCAAGAACAAATTTCGGATTATGCGTTCAAATCGGGAAGGAAAAGAAAAAAGTCTTTGATGCACCTGTTAGGACCAGGCGAGCTCACGCTGAGGGAACTCTCGCGGGAACAAGCGGGATTTGGTGCACGGAGGGCAAACGCTGATGGGCACCTTGACGGCCAATCATGGAGAAGTGGGTGTAGGAACGGTGTAGGTTAGAGGTCGTGCGGAAGTTCTCTGAGCTTCCGGCCGCCGGCTTGGGAAAGAGTAATGGCTAAACATCATCCAGATTTGATTTTCTGCCGCAAGCAGGCTGGTGTAGGTGAGCTGGTTCCCCGATCCCCTCCGTCTGAGTGGGATGGTATTAGAAACCGGGCGGCTGGGGGGTTCCCCTCCTCTTTAAGGCCTTGGTTCGGGGGCTCCACGTTTCGCGCCTTAGGGTCCCTGGGTGTTCTGGCAGCGCGCACCGGTTTGTGGCTTCTGATAGGAGGGCGGGAGCGCGCATCTGCGCCTGAAGCTGGCGGGAGCGTCGGTGCCGGGTCTGGAGAAGCCGTCCCAGATTGCTTGGGACTTGGGAGGGTTCAGGACGGCTTTCGGGACAGGGCTTGGGTGCAAAGCAAAATTTAGGGGCATAGGCCGGGCGTGCTAGGTCACGACTGTAATCCCATCACCGGGGAGGCTGAAGGCAGGAAGGTTGCTGCGAGTTCGAGGCTTGCCTGAAGTACATAAGTTCCAGGCTCCACAATGGGAATCTGTCCCTGTGGGGGGCGGGGGGCCGTGGGAGAGGGAGGAAAAGGAGACTTAAGGCAGCTATCCTGCACACCTTCCTGCCCCATCTCACCCTCAGCTTGAGGAACACCTTCCCTGCCAAATCACAATTTTAACTTTAACTCTACTTTTTTACCGTCTTTGATCTTGCAGCTATCGGAAGACTGTGTGAAAAATGTAAGCGGAACATGCCCTCTCACACCTTGCCTTCTTTGCCCTCTGAAGAGCCAACAAGCCGTTAATTCCAGAGGAACAGCAAAGAAGCATTGACTAGATATGCCAGGCTGCAACGAACCCCGAATGTCTGGCTGCAGCCGAAGGCTTCCCCACCGTCCACCCTCTTTAGCTAGCACATTTTTAATATTTCATACTTAGGTTTTCAAAAAAAGAAAATGTCTACTTTTGGACAGTAAGAACTGTCAGAAGAGTGTGAACCTTCCCCGGCCACAGTGTGTGCAAGAAGGCATGCGATTTGTTGACAATAACTACGTAGACTTATAACCTCTCAGATATTCCAGACTCTTTCCGTATATGAATTAACGTTTGTATATGTTGAAGGACACTGAGGTAGATACAGGGTAAGGCTTATGCTGGCAAGATAGAGGAGAGGTCCGAAGTCACTGTCAAAAGGAGACTAGTCACTTCCCCCATAGAACAGGGAAAAGAGCTTTAGGAAGGACTCGCTAGCGAATATAACTCCATTCTCCTTTCTTTGCAGGTGATGGCAAATGTGTGATTTGTGATTCCTATGTGCGACCATGCACCCTGGTTCGTATATGTGATGAGTGTAACTATGGGTCTTACCAGGGCCGGTGTGTGATCTGTGGAGGTCCCGGAGTCTCCGATGCCTACTATTGTAAAGAGTGCACCATTCAGGAGAAGGATGTGAGTGTAGACTGAGCTTCCCACCTGACCTTTCTTCCTTTTTCCTTGGACCCTTTTGCCATCCATGGCCGTTTCTTCTGGTCTATGGAGATTGCGATGTTCAGCTAGTCAAGTATGTAATTTCTTCAAGCCTGTGAGCCAAACTGGGTGTGGTCTAATAAAGAGCGGTTATTCTGTATCAAAGTCAGAATGCAAGAGAAGCAAGTCTTTATCAGTGTCAGCAGTCTGGAGAACCTTTTCCCTGTTCTTTGATGTCTCCCGTGCATGGGTGAATGGGCATGTGCATGTGTAGAGATCAAAGGACAACTGTGGAGATCAATTCTCCCTTTACACTCTGATCCTGGGAGTTGAATTCAAATGTTGGGCTTGCCAAGTACATTTACCTGCTGTCCTAGTTTCTATTGCTATGATGAAACACCACTATCAAAAGCAGACTGAGGAGGAAGGGGTTCATTTCTCCTACCCCTCCAGGTAACAGTGCATCACTGAGGGAATTCAAAGCAAGTACCTGGAGACAGGAACTGATACAGAAACCAGGGAGAATCACTGCTTACTGGCTTGCTCCCTTGTGGATTGCTCAGCCTGCTTCATTACAGCATCCAGGACCACCAGCCCATGGGTAGCACTACCCACAGTAGGCTCTCCCGCATCAATCAATCAAGAAAATGCACCACTGTCAATCTAGTGGATTTTCTCAGTTGAGGTTCCCTCTTTCAAGTGATTCTAGTTTGTGTCAGGTTGACGTAAAATTAGCCAACATCCCTGCTGAGCCATCTTGTCAACTCCCGTTATTTTTTGTTGGTTTGTTTTTGTTTTTTGAGACAGGGTTTCTCTGTGTAGCTCTGGCCATCCTGGAACTCACTCTGTAGACCGGGCTGGCCTGGAGCTCAGAGATTAACCTGCCTCTGCCTCTCAAGTGCTAGGATTAAATACATGCACCACCATTGCCTGGCTTCATCATTGTTCCTTTTTATGTGTGATTTTTTTTTGTTTGTTTGTTTGTTTTATTTTGTTTTTCAGGATAGGTTTCTCTGTGTAGCCCTGACTGTCCTGGAACTCACTCTGTAGACCAGGGTATCCTCAAACTCAGAGATTCACCTGCCTCTGCCTCCCAAGTGCTGGGATTAAAGGTGTACGCCACCACTGCCTGGCTCATTATTATTCTTATCCACATATAACATCCTTGTTTGTGAATTATAAAGAGCATATAGGTGGTGTTTAATAGACACTTAACAGTTTTGTCTTCCTCTTTTTCGTGCTAGACAGAGGCATCAAGTGTGTATCCCAGTCTGGCCTGGAACTGAAAATTCTGCTTCCTGACTGCAGAGGTTACAGATTTGAACAGCACACCCAGATTAGTTGTTTTCTTTGGGGAGGGATGGGGTTTAGTGCCTTAAACTCACAGCAGTCCTTCTGCTTCAGCCTCCTAGGTACTAGGATTACATGTCCAACTCAGTTCTCTCGAATCTACTGTGATAAAGGACAGTTTGGGTGGCTATAATGGCAAAATTGAATTAAGGATAGTTGTAGTTGATACCAGCTTTAAAAAGAATGGTGTTGTGTAATGAATTAATTGCTGGTCTTCCTTATGTTTTTGTTTCTTGAAGGTGTCTAGTGTGGAAAGGAAACGTATAGATAGCTTTCAATTCTCTTAGCAAGGCTCAGTGAGGTGGCTTGTAGGTCAGGCTACAGACAAGTTTAACCTTATTCTTAGACTAGTATTAGGTACTAGCAACAAGGCATTGTTTCTCTTATACCAAAGTGAAAGGAAGTCGGTTAGAGTCTCACTGGACTAATAGAGGGTGCTGGAGTACCTAGTCTGGAATAAGACGAAATATGTAATTTCATATTCCCATGAGCAAAGTGTAGGTGGTTTGTAGCTGTAATCTCTCCCTTATTCCTCACAACATGTGACCATGTAAGCTGAGGTTATTGTCACCCTCGTTTTTATACTCTGTCCCAGGCTGACTAAACCTTGTGTCCACATCACACCATGTTGTGCTTTTCTAAGTCCTTGGTGTGTGCTCATGATGAAGAGAACCAGCCCGTCTGTCTCAGCACTCCACAGTTGGATGCCACCCACCACTAGGTCCAGAAGCCAGATAGGACTTTGAGGAGAGGGGGGAAGTTGTTCCATAGGGTACCTAAAATGATCTATGGTAGCTGCACTTTCAGTTTTGAATGACTTTATTAAGTAAATAACACGCAAAGGTAAGAATAACTATCACGTAGCAGGTAGATAGCAAGACGTCATCAAATCGAGTCTCTTACCACATCCAGCAGAAGTTGATTGGGGAAGCCACCTTCAGGCATTTAGCTAGAGTTCCTACTTGAGAACTTTTTCTCCATGGATTAGCTTCAGGCTTCTCTTACTCCCTGCATGCATTTTTATATCATAGGATAAACAAATGGTTTCTGTTGGAAACAGCCTTCTTACTGTTCTCAAGGCTGCGGTGCTCGGTTTGGTTTGGTTAATGTCTTTGTTACGTCTGTTTGTCTGTGTGTGCGCATGTGATGTTAAGAGGCCAGCCCAAAGCTGCAGTAATATCTTTGTGGGGGGGGAGTAGGGTTTCTCTGTGTAGTTTTGGTGCCTGTCCTAGATCTTGCTCTGTAGACCAGGCTGGCCTCGAACTCACAGAGATCCGCCTTGCTCTGCCTCCCTGTGTTGGGATTAAAGGTGTGTGCCACCACCGCCCGGCTGCAGTCATATCTTTATCCTGCTTGCTGTTTTTCCCTGTCCCTGAACCAGAGGGGCGGCCTGAACCAGGATGGAGTTTTAGAGCAGCCAAAAAGTATTGTTTACTCTGTTGAATCCACTGTTGTTTGGGAAAAGGAGAAAATTGTTGATTAAGTCTGAAATCATAATTTCAGTTGGTGGTTTGAACACTCTCCTGCCCCAAATGCTCTTTCCAATTCCTTAGACAACTCGAACTCAATCGCATTCTGTCCTATACAGCTGTGGGTCGGTCCTCCATCTTTCCTTTTCTCAGGTCTTGGTAACAGTGCCTAATCTGTAATACAAGGATGATACTCTGTTTTTGGTACTACACCTATAAAGTATTCCTGGAAGAGAAAGAGAGGTGCACCCACCCCACCCCCCACCCCCCAAGCCCACTCCAGACATTTGGTACTTAGGAATTGGGACGTACTTAATGTAATGGAAAGAGGAGGTTCACACAGTTCTTAAGCTAAAGGGTCCATGTAGATACAACACTCTTGAAATTTCAGTTACAGCTAGAGACTTGCGCTTGGGACCAGAGAATGCTTACTAAATGGTAACTGCCATCTCACCTGTCTGCATGCACTGTGATCTGATACCTTTGGATCCCTGTCCCTCATTGTGCCCCCAAGAATTATTTTAGACGTCACTTCACCTACTTCACATTATACAGGAACGTTCTGAGGACACTTGAGCTCAAGCTCACCATTACTTGGCACTAGTTTCCAAGGAACACAAAGCAGTGCCGTGACATGATCCAGCCTCTCTCCCTTACAGACAGATGATCATGTAGATGCAGGGCCCAGACTTTTTCCTGTGTAGAAATCTTCTTCCTGCAGCTTTTATAATTTATAAGGTAATTTAATAAGGTCAGTAAGCTGAGCTGGGTATCCTCATTTGTAGTTTTTCAAAATCTCAAAAATAACGGAATCACGAGCTAGGCATGGTGGTGCATGCCTGTAATCCTAGCACTTGGTATGCTGAGGCGGGAAAATTGCCAGTTTAAAACCAGTCTGGGGCCAGGCAGTGGTGGCACATACCTTTCCCCAGCACTCAGGAGGCAGAGGCAGGTGAATCTCTTGAGTTTGAGTCCAGCCAGGTCTATAGAGAGAGTTCCAGGATGGCCAGGGGTTCACAAAGAAACCCTGTCTCAAAAACTAAAAATAAAAATAAAACTAGTCGAAGATACCCTGTCTTACAATACAGAAAGACTACCAGGACTCACCACTATCTTGAAACCTTGGTAGTAGAGGACTAATTTGAACATTCTCATGATGTAACAGCAAACAAATCCCTTGACCCCGATCCCAGCCAGAGAATATGAAAAATAAGTAACATTTGTGGAGTTTAAAATGTATATTTATTTTTGCAGTACAGGGGTTGAACCTAAGATTTTGCATAACCCAACCCGTTCTCTGTAATAACAGCCAGTCCACTGAGCCATCTTTTCAGCACCCATATTTTCCTTTTTCTGTTCTTTTCCTTAATAATTTTATTTTTATTTTGTGTGCATTAGTGTTTTGCCTCCATGTATGGCTGTGAGGGTGTTGGGTACCCTGGAACTAGAGTTGCAGGCAGTTGTGAGCTACCATGTGGGTGCTGGGAATTGAACCCAGGTCCTCTTGGAGAGCAGTCAGTGCTCTTAACCGCTGAGCCATCTCTCCAGCGCCAGCACCCATATTTTTCTAACGAGGAATTAAATGTTGGCTAGGAGTGAACTTTAAGTTGCAGATCATTGTAATATTGGAGCTAGAATTGTCCTGATGCGGGATGCTTGATCTAATCCATGCACTTTCTCTAACCACTTCACTGTATTTCTCAGGCTGAGAAACATTTCTTTCCTTTCTTGTCTTGCTATTTCTACATTCTCACCTAGTTTATTTTGTTTAGCATAACCAGAAAGATGAATAGACCATTAACCCAAATGCTATAAAATGGTCTTTTTAGAGGGGCTGACAAGATTGCCCAGTGAGTACAACCCTTCACTGCTAAACCAGACTTCAATCCCCAAATCCCATTGTCCTCCGAGCTCTGTGTTCATACCATGGTATGCATATGTACACACATACTAAATAAATAAAAAAATTTTTTTTTTCTCTTTTTTTTAATTTAAGAAACGGTCTTTGAAAACTCATAAAGCTAGAGAAGAGATAGTACTAACTGATCTGGGGGAGGCTCCCCCCAGTTTATAAATGGAGGTGTTTGGATACATTTATGGAGCAAAAACATTTTTTGTGTGGTTTCGGGTTTTGGTTTTTGATAACAGGGTTTCTCTGTGTAGCCCTGGCTGTTCTGGAAATCACTTTGTAGACCTCAAACTCACAGAGCTCAGTCTGCTTCTGCATCCTGCTGGGATTAAAGGTGTACGCCACTGCCCCTTGCTTGGGTCTTTTTTAAATCCTTTTTTTCTGTTGGGAGTTGGGGATTAGACAAAGGCTCAGGCAGTGGTCTGCAAGTCAGGGTGCTGAGGTGAAGAGTGATGCTTTTCCTATTCCTGGGCTAAATTTGATTTGAAATCTCTTGAATCAGTTTCAGGGACTTAACAACTCTGTTCTGTTTTTCAGAGAGACGGTTGCCCAAAGATTGTCAATTTGGGGAGCTCTAAAACAGACCTGTTCTATGAACGAAAAAAATACGGCTTCAAGAAGAGGTGATGGGTGGGCGGCTCCTTCCTCCCACATCAAGCTGTTGCAGCTGCCAGAAAAGACACCTACTACCACCAGCAGAAAGATCGGAGCCCAACGTGTCACCAGAACAGCCTACTAGAGCTAGTGTCCTGACCCCCTGACCCCTGCCTTTCCTCACCATGCTGGTGGGGGTGGAAGAGGGGTCTTGACAGAGCGCTCTAGCAGACTGAAGAAAAATTGCTAGGTTAGTTTGTAGTTTGTTTTGTTCTAGTTGGAGAAGCAAGGCTCTGCTCTCTACTTTGATAGATCCTCGCCACACCAAAAGCTTCAAAACAAGTCTTCTGTCTGCGACCTTGACAACGAAGCCACTGCAGGCAAAGCCTTTCAGCAGCTGTGATGGCGGTGGTCTTCTGTGACCCTCAGTGTGGCCAGGAGCCATCAGAACAGTAATGTGATGTAACACTTCCCGGGTGGCGCTGGCTTCATGTTTTTTTCCTTCTTAGAAATTGGAAGTTTCTGTTGTTCTAATAAAGTTGGTGTGTATTTTCTGGTAGTTGGTTGCCTTCCCCATTACCTTGAGATTCTACTTTGTAGTCATCCAGGTTTGGGTGAGTGAAACTATAATAGAGGCCATGGGGTTGATGGAGTGCCTGTACTCTTACCGCCCCTGGAAAAGACTTAGAGGCCACCTGTGCCTTTTACTGTGGGGGAATAAGTCCATTTTAGCTTTATTTTTTTCTTCCTATCCAACTTTTTTGTCTCACTCATTAGCTCAGGCGGGCCTGGAAATTGTTGCAATCCTCCTGCCTTAGCCTTCAGAGTGCTGGCATTTCATATGTGAGTAACCATACCTGGGTTTTCTAATATTGATTTCAAAGAGATATCCTACATTAGTGGTGAAGAAAATATGATTAAATTAAATTGATAAATTAGAAAAACTGTACATATATATTTATTTGAAGGGATAACTAGAAACTTTTCTCAAAACTAGAAAATTCAGCCATACTCTTCTACTTGGATCAGTTCATTTCTGCCTGCTGAGGTGAGAATTTTCTGGGGTGGGTGTTTCTGCATGTTGAGATGTATTAAATAGGTCTTTAGTGCCATAGATTTGTGTCCTGAGGAATCCATGTACTTGGTCTTAATTTATGCTGCATTTGAGTAACAAAACCGGCAAGAAATAACTTTAGGTATTTATTTAATGTGCATTGGTGTTTGGCCTGCATGTATGTCTGTGATAGTGTCCAGTCCTCTGGAACTGGAGTTACAGTGTTAAGCTACCACATGGGTGCTGGGAACTGAACCTCAGTCCTCTGAAGAGCAGCAGCCAGTGCTCTTAACCACTGAGCTCTAGCCCTGAAATAACTTCTTTTTATTGAGGGTTTTGGTTTGGGTCAACAAAAAAAAAAGAAAGCTCTTAGTCATATGTGATGTAATGAGTACAATTAAGACGAGAGAATGGTATAAAGGAGAAAACAGAAACATCTATTACAAGCCACAGGACGTGCAAAGGAAGGATCCTTGGGCCAGCTTGGCAAGCACTTCCCAAAACCAGGACAGGTCTGGACCACAGGATAAACCTAATCCTGAAGGATACCTGGTGCTTTGCCCCCATGTCACCTGGCCCTTCTACCTACCCTCTTGGTGCTGTGGCCACTGGGCCCTTCCTCAGAGCCTCGACTTCTGCTTTTGCCTCTGTCTCAATGTGACTTATTTTTTAGTCTGTTGAGCCTCTGTAGTGTTCCTGCTTAACTAACTCTTCCCACTCATCCTTCAGACCTGCGCCAAATACATCCTCAGATGTCTCCCAACCTGCAATCTAATTTCCCCTTGTACTCCCACGTAGCATTTTCTGTGTGTTCCTGAAGCATTTGGTGGTTATTAATCCTCACCTTGTAAGCCATGTTCTTCCCAGGGGATGGCATGTTCAATGTTGAATTCAAACAGCCTTGAAGGAAGCAGGCAGATGAGGGTAGGACGTGCAGAAGTGTGTGCTGGGAAACTGTAGAAAGGTAGTCTGGAACCTAGGGTTGTGTTCAGGGAGCCTGGAGCAGTTCTAAAGTACCAGGAGAAACAGAAAACAGCATCATTTACAGATTAGGGTTTGTAACTGATGTTTTTTGTTGTTGCTGTTTGCCTGTTTCAGAGACTGACTCTTCCTATAGAAGCTGGGCTGTGTCCTCCAGGCCTTGGAACTTCTTTCACCCCATCCTCCCCAAGTACTGAGATTAGGCATGTGCTGCCATGCCCAGCTTGTAGCGTATTCTTTAGTAACTTCAAAAATCTTTAGTTTAGAAATGTAACAAATGGGGGGGGGGCGAGTTTCCATTGCTTATCTTTTTCTGGTGATGTCAGGGATCAAACTTGGGGCTTGTGCATGTGTGCTCTTACCACTGTAGCATATCCCCGGCCTTCATTGACCATGTGGTTATGTCTTACATCTACCAGGGTTTGGGAAGCCACTCTTTAGTGGAAATATCCCCTAAGCTGCACTATTCTGCCTCAATGGAAGGCCACTAAAAGATCCTTAGGGGAGCGTCCATCCATCTTCAGAAGGATGTCAGAGGGCATGCTCCCTTCACGATGGGTTAGTGAGCAAGTTCTACTCAGCTGTGGAATCTATCTCTCTGTCACCTAATATTCTAATTCTAATCTTACTGTTGCTTTGTTTTCTTTCTGTTGATCACTGACTGACCAAGAGAAAATAGAATGAGTTAGGGAGACCTCTAGTGTGGTCATTCAGTGGGAGAGTGCTGTTTGGCATAACATTTATTAGCTCCTGGGTTCAACCCCCAGTACAGCAAGTAACTAGCAACTGGATCAAACTTTTTTTTTGGGGGGGGGTCTATCTCTATCTTGGGCATTAGAATAATTCACTTTGGGCCAAGCTTTGTTGTGACACCTTGAATCCCAGGACTTGGGAGACAGATGCAGGCAGATCTGTCTATCTCTGTGAGTTCTAGGCCAGCCTGGTCTACAGAGCATGTCCCAGGACAGCCAAGGAAGGCTATAAAGAGAAACCCTGTTTGGGAGGAGAAGCAGGGAGTACTTACTCTTCTGGAAAAATCTGAGTTCATTTCCTATATCATCACCTATATCACACAACTCACAACCTCCTGTAACTCTAGTTCCAGAGTAACTCACTCCCTTTTCTGGTCTCCATGAGCACCTGCTGGCTGCTCTTCCAGATTGGGTCAATTCCCAGCACCCACATAGTGGCTCACAACCATCTGTAAATCCAGTTCCCAGGGGATCTGATATCTTCTGGCCTCCATGGGCACTGCACCCATGTGGCACACCTGGACATATGTTCAAACAAAACAAGACACATAGAAATAAGTAAATCTTTAAAAACACACACACTTGCCTGGAGGTGGTGGCACACGCCTTTAATTCTAGCAATCGGGAGGCAGAGCCAGGCGGATCTCTGTGAGTTTGAGGCCAGCCTGGTTTACATAGCAAGATCCAGGACAGGCACCAAAACTACACGGAGAAACCCTGTCTCGAAAAAACCAAAAGAAGAGAAAATAAATAAAAAATAAAAAAATAAACACACACACTAAACAGTAGACCAGGGCAGGTGACAGGCTCCAGTAGGTTACTCTCTTATCACTACTTGTGGACCATGACAAGTGAACACAGATGTGCACACAAAAATATTTGTAATAAAAAAAGTGTATAAATATAACCCTGTGTGTGTATATACAGACACAGGAAGACATTGTTATATATCAACATGCAGCTATATTACAATGTGTCAATATATATCAGAAAATACATCCACCAGATGTTAACCTTGGCCTTCTAATTAGCAACTTTAATTCTTTGAGAATTTCACACACATATAGACTATATTTTGATCATATTGCAGCTTTTGCGGGGTACAGGGTCTTGCCATGAGCCCTAGAGGTTCTGGAACTCACTACCAGACCAGGCTGACCTATATCTTGTGGCAATCCTGCCTTTACATTGTGAGCACTGTGATGACAGAAGTGGGCAGCTACTGCCACACCTCACTTAGCAATTTGTAAAGTAAGGAAATTCCCAAGGAATCAAACTGAACTGGCTAAGTTTCAGACAGACTATGTGTTACTGTTTTGATGTGTAGCTTTTTAAACGCTTCAGAATTCTTTGCTTCGAGTAATTTTCCTGCAACCCTCCCCCCCCCAAAGAAAACAACCTCAAATTATTTCCATCTATTGCTGGATACTTGATTCCTTATTAATGCTGTCCCTAAGTGTCCATCAAAGCTAAAAATGTTTGTTCCTTTGAATACTGCCTTTTGGTGTCTTTTTTTTTTTTTTTTTTTTTGGTTTTTTGAGTCAGTCGTTTTGGTGGCTTAACAAAACAATGGTTAAATGTAATCTTCTTTACCAGAATTGATCTAGAGTCGCTCTTTCCCAAAACTCAGATTTTTGTCATGGCTGTCCTTGCTTCTGCCCAGCAGTGGCAGTAGCTGTTAAGAATCAAACAGATGAACTCTTTTCTTGGAGGACATCAAAGAAACAATATAAAAAATCTCACCTGATGTGTGTGTATGAAATTGTGACTCATCTTGGATTAATTGAGCCAATTATGACCAGCTTTACTTGTTACTAGTAATAGTGACTGGCATGATTGCTTTGCTCTTAGAGGGAGAGTTCTCACCTCTTTGCAGGCGCCAGAGCTGACCCTTGTGAAAGCATGGTGTATGTCTTTCAACATATGGTTATTCAAATGGGAGGAGACTCCAGAATGCTTGAGTAGTAATTCAGTTTACAATTAAGCCCTGGCAAGATGAAATTACACACTGGGGAAGAGAAGAAAATTTCTCCTTACCACATAACTCGAGGCAGCAGCAATTTACAAGGGTGATTCCCTCTCTCCCTCTATTTTATTCTTTCCTATTTATAAACTCAAACCTTTACTCAAAATTCCCATTTACCAAGGAGATGGGATTTTTCAGGGGTTTTTGTTGTGTGTAATGCTTTCAAGACCGATTCAAATAAAAGCATTAAATAAAAACGGGCGCATGGCCCTCCACATATAACTGCCTTTTATCTGCATAAGCAAATCCTTGAGATACCCTTTGACAGTTCGTTCCAGCTCATCCTAAACTTTCTCATCATTCTGTCTTGGAAGGTTTCTCACTGGGAAATGCACACTAACTACAGTTTATAGGCTGCAATTTGGCCAATTTATCGTGATGAAAAATAAAACTGTTTTGCGGATTCAGACATTTTCGGGGAGGGAGACAGACCTGTTTGAGTCAAGCTTTACACACAGTGTTGTTTAAATCCCACGATCTCCATGTTTTCAGAGATGAAGAAACCAATTTGGCGCCTTAAAGATAGCTGTTGCGCTGGGCGGTGGTGGCATACACCTTTAATCCCAGCATTTAGGAGGCAGAAGCAAGTGGATCTCTGTGAGTTCAAGGACAGCCTCGTTTACAATAGGGAGTTCCGGGACAGCCAGAACTGTTACACAGAGAAACCCTGTCTCGGGAAAAAAAAAAAGTGTGTGTGTGTGGGGGGGAATTTGTTACATTAAATCGAGAATACACACATTAGGTGG